AAGAATACATTTTTTTTCAGAAACGTTTTTTTCGTTTTTTATATTCTGTGATAACATTTAGATGGTGACTTAAGGTAACTTAGACTAGACTAGTTTAATGACAAAATTACATTGATTAGCTGTATTGCTTACTCTGTCCCCGACATTTCACGTCACGATTGTTCACCACGTATCATCCGTTACTTTGACAACGATAATCTTCACAACCAACAGACAGTCATGCCGATCATCAAGCTAAGCCCAGGGTACGATGTGTATCTGGGGCATTACACAACCAGTGTGAGCGTTGGTTTAATACCAATCAGACAAAGAACTAATTGCATATGTGGGAGGTAATTGTTGAGAGATTCCATCACGCAATATTATGATTAAATGAAAAGGATATAGAATTTCCTGGTGGGAACATCGTTGATACATTCCTTTATTAAGACCATTTATCAAGAGTGTTGAACCCGCCTGCACAAGAGATGTAATAGAAATATATTCGTTCAAATTGATAATGTCATATTTTACATTACATAAATGCATTGCCGTTCAGTGTGAAAAGGTCGGTCACGTATCATTCCCAAATGTATATGGTGTAGGCGAAATCGCTCTCGTCCATCGACTGTCTTCTCCCCATTGACCAATCGTCTCCTCAATATAGAACACATGAGTTTTCCCACAAGAGTCTATGTGGCGTTCAAGTGATCTGTATTGGTACCATGTATTATGTATGTTATCGTGGGCGATAGCCTTTAGTTGGCAGTGTCACAACTGTATGGTAAAACGATTGGTGGAGTATTTAACGCGGTGAAAGTCTAGCAGACGTAGCCTTTATACTTGATAAACATAACTACCATGTATTTCTCCTATGTATCCATAAATAATGGCCAGGCACATATCTTATTAATCAGAGATGGTAGGACGTTTGTTGGAAATTTTGACATTTTCACCGATGTTATTTTTTCGATGCTATGGTTTTACAATAACACATGCATTGTGTTGATAATGCAGTACTTCACACATGGGCCTGTTTTCTATAGTCAATATTGCTTACACTGTAATTGTCTTGTATTCAATCAAAAGGCCTACCCTGACAATAACAGGGGTGTTTAGTACACATTGATACACATGTCTACACTGTATTTCGTACTACATTTGGATCCATAGACGCTTCAATCAGGGCCTACAAGTATGATTGATATAAGCTGATTAAGGTTGTGCTTAATTGTTATCAAATGAATATGTTTGTGTTGAGCGTATACTGATCATAATTACACGTATGACTAAATTTGAAACAAGAGTATACAGTATTCCATTTTTCATTTAACAAAAAACCTCCAAGCATGTCAGCAAACTTTGTCCTGTTACACTTGCCGCCTGAGCACTATCATACACACGTACACAGAGAAATCATCCGGAGTACAATGTGTAAGTATTTCTCACCTGGTCTGTCCTACATTCGGCCCTGTTTCTGATCTTTGTCTTGGATGCATTCCCTCGTGGTTATAACATCATAATGTCTTGTTTTTAATCTAGCCATGATCAGAGACAAGGATGCGTTTCCTTATTTTCTGATATGTAAATTGGCGTACAAATTCTGGGTCGGGTTTGTGTATTGACGATGTGAGATTTTTGTCTTTAGTTTGCTATAAGTTCTTTCATGCTTATTTTATTTGTATTTAAAGAAGACTGGTTCTCCTATTTAGAGTATACTCACTTACCTGTTGTGTATTTAATATGTATTTGCTGAGGCTGTGATTTATTTTGTCTTTGGGATTTACCCTGAAGCATGTTTTATCTTTGTGTTAATGCTGTAGAGAATTTTGTCTTTGTTTGTTAAAGATGCGTTATCGTTTTGTCTTTGTTTGTTAAAGATGCGTTATCGTTTTGTCTTTGTTTGTAAAAGATGCGTTATCGTTTTGTCTTTGTTTGTTAAAGATGCGTTATCGTTTTGTCTTTGTTTGTTAAAGATGCGTTATCGTTTTGTCTTTGTTTGTTAAAGATGCGTGATCGTTTTGTCTTTGTTTTTTATAGATGCGTTATCGTTTTGTTCTTTTTTTACTTTCAAAACATCAAAAGGTTATTTCCAGTGTTTCCTTATCCAGGAATTAATACCAATACAATACATCACCACCAGAGAAACAGCCATTTAATTGTTCAGGAAGTGCGTAACTCACAATCTACATCTTTAAATAACTATGATTTATTCAATTTTCATCCAAAGACATTATTAAATACATGATGATACCACTTTATATCGTTAATGTTAAATTGCACAGACATACTACATACATATCTATCAATATTATAACTACAATTATCTAATAAACAAGGAGGGCAGCTGATTATCTGGATTCATCATCACTTTGCATGTCCTGCATCGTCAACGCGTATGCTAATTATATATAGCGTTATTTGATGAACCTAGGAATTACACACAATATATTTATAAAGTTAAAACCTCTGTATTGGCGATCCAATATTTCTTCATTCACGTTACTTGAGCCTCCATTCCTGCGTCTTTCCAGTTGTTACATGTACCTATGGATACTCTTTTTTCTGTGTCTCACAATTCTTATTGTCTCCATGTTGGTAAATTCAACTCTTACGAGTTCCTTCATCTATATCGGTCTCCTTTACGTCTCTTCGCAAAATAAGGAAGGTATGTCTCGTACATAATTAGAAATTGTTAATGAGGGACATTGTGTGGTTTTGGAAAATTCTAACCCATTTCAACGGTAATTTGTTAATTTGACGCAAGGAAAGTACTAAAAGACCCATCCTTCGTAGAAGTATCGATTGAGTTATTCCTGGTCAATAATCTGATCATGCTTCAATGAGGTTAATTAGAAGTCAGAGAACACATCTAAGGTCACTAAATGATTATGGGACCAAAAGGTGTGTCATGTTGTTTATTCGCCCCGTCAGTTGACAGGGCAGCTATCCAAAAGTCATTCCATAAACTCCTTTGTACGTAATCTGACAGTAATCTACCACACCTCAACCGTGATGATAGCAGTATGAATTTCTATTGCCCCTTATATATGTCCGACCGCCCAGGAAAAACGATTTCGAGATGGAGGTTGATGATCATTATGGGCAAGTTTTATGGTCGCGACCATAATGTCATCGGGAAATATTATCTTTCGTTTTGCGATGTAAAGATCGATATGTATGATCACGTTCATAAGAGGGTCGTATTGATTCGTTGTTACTACCCCGGGTCTCTCCTTGAGGACGTGACATTAATATTACCAGGGTATCTCATACCCTGTACATGTCGAGTGACATCAGAAACCGTCGCCATTTAAACATTCACGATTTTGAGCTAGAGTTACGATCCCGTTGGCACTAAGGCTTCGATTAGTTATGGAGAATACAGTATCACAATTCTAGCGAAATCTTGATTAAATGGCAATAATATGGGAGTAAGGAGCTTCGATAATGGACTGCTATATTTAGTAGACGATAAAAGTGATGAAACGTTGTTAATAAAGATATTTTAAAGTTTCGGAAACAAATTAAATGAAGAAGGCCCGTATCATTATCATTATCCAGTGTTCGAGGATCTTGTAATAAAGAAGCATAACTAGCTAGTGCTTCGTCTTTCGGAATACGGAAATATTTTCTTCGGTTATCAAGCAGCTTAGTTCTTTTTTGTGTGAGCAGAAAGTGTAATAGTGTTTGCAGACAAGGATCAAGTTATCCGGTGCTAAGACCTCTGTCTGATAGGAATCATCACGCATTCCGTGACGCCCATGTACACATAATATAACGCCATAAACTTCTTCATGCAACATGCCACCGCGCATAAGTCGGTTACAAGGAAACTCAGAAGAATGCTCAGCGTTTATTAATAAAGCAATCGATACATTGATGTGACACATTCGTGATAATTGTAGACGTTTGACTACCTCGCCTGGAGCAAGCATCTTAAACGTTTCTAACATAGTGGACAGCAGCATCGTACTGGTCTTATTGATATATTGGTCAGTTAACATGGAATTCATGTGGTCCCATAATGTGTTGTTGACATAGGCACAGTACCAAATGATGGACTTGCATTCCAGATTCAATACCAGTGACAGGGTTTACACGTGCTTCGTTGTCTGGGTATAGAGTGCAGACGTGCATTGGAATCTACAGCAGTGATTAGCATTCCTACACTATCTACTGTAACAACCATGCATACATGTGAATTTGTTGATATCATAGCAAAGGCATTCAGGCATATACCATAAACATATATAGTGACCTCACAAACTTCGGTCAACAACGATCTGTACACATTTTTATAGAAATCTGTATTTGCTGTTTTCAAAAGAACGAAATGATTATTGATGCTCCTGATTACTCTACATAAAAACAGCCTCCAAAATCGCCATTGTTTAGTATATACACACGCAGGTCCCTTCCAATGGAGACCTTTATTAATGTCCCTTTACAACTGTTGAATAATTAATTACTGCTGTAACACTTCTTACAACATCTATCTTAAATTAACATCATTAGTGCCAAAACTTCCACATAAGGATTAACACACAACCTACTCGATGGCGTTATAGGCCGAAATGTTCAGGTTACAACAGTGGCATATAAAAACTAAGAAGCTATTAAAAAAGAATCAAGTATATATAAGTGCCAATTGCTAAGTAACTGGTGACCTCATAGAGCTAAACTTAAAATTGATTCATAATTTGTGTATGAAGTTAAATAACATATTTGATCAGAATTTGCAAGACTTGACATTTGTACTCGTCGTTTATATTGTAATTTACACATCGGAAGTTTCATTTATAACAAACAGGTATGCATGGCTCTTTTAGAATCAACGGCTATCTAATTTAATCTATTGAAGGTTGCAAACGTGTTTTGGATTCATTTCCTTTAAGGTTTGTAGATTTATCAATGGAGTATGAACAAAATTACATCATACATGTTTGAAACTAGTCATTGCGACGACACTTTAAAATCTAACAATTCCTGAAGTCAAAGTGATAACTCTATTGTTTCAGACTTTACCTGTAACTTTGAAAGTGGATGCCAGATGGAATTTGATTCGTCCACAATGTTGACGTGGACGGCTGAGAAGACGTTGTGCTCCCTTAAAGGACTAGATAGTTACCAGGTGTTCCGTCGGGTACACTGTCAGGATTACTCAAGGTTTATTCCTGTCGTGGATACTACATCCGGGCAATCACACGGTTCGTATATAACTAAAATGGTTATAAGGCGGCGTCGGATGTAGCATGTGGAAATTCAAATATCTATATCATAGGAATAGTAAAGCAATGTATCACATGTAATATTTACTTACACTGTAATAGCAAACATAAAAATAAACACGAAAACTAATGATAGGCACATAAACTGATTATTGTGTCGCTGACATTGCACTTACGAAATTTCAGGCATAATATTTACTTGCCTAATTTTCGACTTGTATTTTCGCCTCCAGGCAAGTATGGTTTCTTCCTTCCCATGAATTCCACCGTGAGCACGACCCTATCTACTCCCGTTATATATGGGAGTTCCGCCGGATGTACGCTCCAGATGTCGGCATGGATACATCGTGGAGACATCATCATTGTCATTCGTACCACCAACATCACGAAGTCGGTCGCTCACTTCGACAAGAATACGATATTCGCAGGACAGAGGTGGGCACTATTTACAAATTATATGATTTTTTTTTTATTACAATCATTTCATTACCATTGTTCACCGTACTTCGCAACCTAAGCAACATTAAGAATGACAATCGAATAAGACTTGTTTTTTTTCACTGCACAAGATAATGAATTATGTACAAGAATAATTTGCCGGTATAGAAATTCTGACGGTAGGTTTAACTGTTGTGACGGTAGGTATAGCTGTTCTGACGATATGTATAGCTGTTCTGACGGTAGGTATAGCTATTCTGACGATATGTATAGCTGTTCTGATGATATGTATAGCTGTTCTGACGATATGTATAGCTGTGCTGACGATATGTATAGCTGTTCTGATGATATGTATAGCTGTTCTGACGATATGTATATCTGCTATAGACTCCGTCACGTGTTACCTCTAAGTCATCTGGTACACACTCCGTCACGTGTTAACTCTCATTCATCTGGTACACACTCTGTCACGTGTTTATTCTTAGTCATCTGGTACACACTCCGTCACGTGTTAACTCTAAGACATCTGGTACACACTCCGTCACGTGTTAATTCTAAGTCATCTGGTAC